AGAGAGAGAGAGAGACAGAGAGAGACAGAGAGAGAGACAGAGAGAGAGAGAGAGAGACAGAGACAGAGACACAGAGAGAGAGAGAGAGAGAGGAGAGAGAGAGAGAGAGACCTGAGGAGTGAAACTAGTGGACTCTTGTTTTACTGAGGAATTATTACACATACAGACTGTAATCATTCTGTTACGTTGGCCTTCACATGATGAATTTGTCTGTAAACGTCTTCCTCTCTCAAACACGTCAGTACACAGATTAAACCTTCTGATGCGTCTCCTCCTCACAGCACACCTTCGGGCTCCTCCTGATCACTAAGATGGGACTGACCGTGTCCATGCTGAGTCTCCTCCTCTGCATCCTCACCTTCAAGTTCTGCCGCTCCATACAAGGGACTCGAACCACCATCCACCTGCACCTGTGTGTCTGCCTCTTCATGGCCAACCTTGTCTTTCTGGCGGGCATCTCACAAACCAAACCTGAGGTATGACTGTGGTTACTTTAATGTGAAAGTTATTTACATGGGTGTTCCTGTTTGCGCGCCGCAAAGGAGAGCGTAGTTAATAAGCGAAGGTTACACATTGACGTCAGAGCGTCGTGGAAGGTGAAGACATCGGCGGTTATTGTGGGGCAAACAAAGACGACAAATAAACAGACCCAGAAGAAGAAGAAGGAGGATTGGAACAATGTGACCTCATTGGGTGTTTGTTTGGACTTCCTGGTTGTGAATGAACCCTAGATGTTGTACCCAGGTCTTAACCACTGATGGAGAGAGGTTCTGCTTTGGGGAACTTTGGCTTCATTTCAACATTTCAGTCATCACAATGTGTATTTTAATATATTCACTGAATGAACCAATGAGAGGTAAAGAACATTGAGTAAGAAGCAGACGATATAATCCTCTCAGCGCCTCGCTGTAAATGTTCCTGAATATGAGCGGCTGTGTTCACGCAGACATCGTAGCAGGCGGCTGGCAGGAGGCATTCTGGGTAAAGTCCGGGTGGAAAAATCCTCCATTTGATCTCACAAATCACCCCCCCAGTGTTTCAGGATTTTAGTGTAACTTTTCTAACATGACTAAAGGATCAAAGGTGAAAGGATACAGACAGTCTCACATTGTAAATACCTAGGAATCCTAATAGACTCGCAACTGTCTTTAAAGAAACATGTGAAACAACTGTGTAACACTATAACATTTAACCTAAGGAACTTCAGGTTTATCCGAAACCAGTTACCCATTAATGCAGCAAAGTTATATGTGCACTTAATGATCTTCTCACACATGTCATATTGTATCACAAGCTGGTTGCAAGCAGGTAAAACAACACTTGCCCCTCTCCAAACCCTGTACAAGCAAATACTCAAGGCACTGGACAAAAAGCCAACAAGTTACCACTACTGTAACATCATTCAGAGGTATAACCTCCTAACCTTTGACAATGTTGTGGGTCTTGGTGATGCTTGTCTAGTGTATAAACTTATTAATTATTAGTTCATATCGCTGCGTGCAGATGGAGGAAGAACAAGAAGGAGCGCCAACAGAGGGGATTGTGTTATACAGCACAGATCCTCTGAGTTTGGCAAATCAGCCGTCTCTATTAGAGCTACACATTTTTGGAACTCCATACCGGCTAAAATCAGAGAGTGCCGTAGCTTTGCTGAATTTAAATTTAAAATCAAATCATGGCTCAAATCAACTCAATCGTGTCCTCATCACACATAAACACTTTTTCATGAACTATGTTTGATAATGTTGTCGCGTATTGATACAGTATGTTATTATGGCTTTGTTGTTGTGGTGTATTGGAGATACAGTATGTTGCCGTATAGCTGTGTTTTTTTTTTAGTGTAGTTTTTAAAGTAAAGTGCCCTTTGCCTATTATTGTTTTAATATAATGTATGAATTTCACTGTGGACTAGTGTAATGCCATTGTTCAGTGGTTGTGTACTGTCTTACTGTTGTGAAGATGTTGTTAGTGTATGTTTTGTTTCTTCACAGAGACGTTGCCCAGGGACTACAGATGTAAATTAGCTTATAGCTAACTCTGGTACAGCTAATTGACTGTACACTGTCCCTGTCAAAAATAAATAAATAAAGTTTGACTCTCTGTGTTTCTGAAGACGTTTCATATTGAACGCGTTCTCTCGTCCTGACCTCAGCTTGACTCTTTCTTCTCGCGGTCGTTTGATTTGCAGGGTGGCTGCAGGTTGGTTGCAGCCATGCTTCATTTCTTCTTCCTGGGAGTGTTTACCTGGATGCTGTTAGAGGGGGTGCAGCTGTACCGTATGGTGGTCCTGGTGTTCAACGCCACCATCCGGCCCCTCTACTTATTCATGGCTGGTTACGGGGCTCCTCTGGTGATCCTCATCCCGTCGGTCATCATTCGGCCTGCGGGATACGGCACTGACCAGCAGTGAGTGTTTACTACATTACTCCTCAGAGCTGCTGTTATGTGATCATGACCATGTGTTTCCTTCTTGCTAACAGCTGCTGGCTGTCTCTGAGTGACGGCCTCATCTGGAGCTTCTTCGGCCCCGTGTGCCTCATCATCATCCTCAACATCTTCTTCTTCATCATCACCATCTGGAAGCTCGCTCAGAAGTTCTCCAGCCTCAACCCTGACCACTCCAAGCTGCAAAAAGTCAGGTCAGTCCATGTGTGCTTGATGTTCATGTGATGTAGTAATACTGGAGTGACCCTGGGCCGACCTTCAAACAAACACTCAGCTGGAACACATGCTGGCCAGACGGCGCTCGCTTCGGGAGAAAAGCATGGATGGAACCATCAATAGACAAAAATTTGTCCATAAAGCGCCAGACTCTAAGAGTCCCTGCTCCTCTAAGAGTCCCTGCTCCTCATCAGACTCTAAGAGTCCCTGCTCCTCTAAGAGTCCCTGCTCCTCATCAGACTCTAAGAGTCCCTGCTCCTCTAAGAGTCCCTGCTCCTCATCAGACTCTAAGAGTCCCTGCTCCTCTAGGAGTCCCTGCTCCTCTAAAAGTCCCTGCTCCTCTAAGAGTCCCTGCTCCTCTAAGAGTCCCTGCTCCTCATCAGACTCTAAGAGTCCCTGCTCCTCATCAGACTCTAAGAGTCCCTGCTCCTCTAAGAGTCCCTGCTCCTCATCAGACTCTAAGAGTCCCTGCTCCTCTAAAAGTCCCTGCTCCTCATCAGACTCTAAGAGTCCCTGCTCCTCTAAGAGTCCCTGCTCCTCATCAGACTCTAAGAGTCCCTGCTCCTCTAAGAGTCCCTGCTCCTCATCAGACTCTAAGAGTCCCTGCTCCTCATCAGACTCTAAGAGTCCCTGCTCCTCTAAGAGTCCCTGCTCCTCATCAGACTCTAAGAGTCCCTGCTCCTCTAGAAGTCCCTGCTCCTCATCAGACTCTAAGAGTCCCTGCTCCTCTAAGAGTCCCTGCTCCTCATCAGACTCTAAGAGTCCCTGCTCCTCTAAGAGTCCCTGCTCCTCATCAGACTCTAAGAGTCCCTGCTCCTCATCAGACTCTAAGAGTCCCTGCTCCTCTAAGAGTCCCTGCTCCTCATCAGACTCTAAGAGTCCCTGCTCCTCTAGGAGTCCCTGCTCCTCATCAGACTCTAAGAGTCCCTGCTCCTCTAGAAGTCCCTGCTCCTCATCAGACTCTAAGAGTCCCTGCTCCTCTAAGAGTCCCTGCTCCTCATCAGACTCTAAGAGTCCCTTCTCCTCTAGGAGTCCCTGCTCCTCTAAAAGTCCCTGCTCCTCTAAGAGTCCCTGCTCCTCATCAGACTCTAAGAGTCCCTGCTCCTCTAAGAGTCCCTGCTCCTCATCAGACTCTAAGAGTCCCTGCTCCTCTAAGAGTCCCTGCTCCTCTAAGAGTCCCTGCTCCTCATCAGACTCTAAGAGTCCCTGCTCCTCTAGGAGTCCCTGCTCCTCTAAGAGTCCCTGCTCCTCTAAGAGTCCCTGCTCCTCATCAGACTCTAAGAGTCCCTGCTCCTCTAGGAGTCCCTGCTCCTCGTCTGAGTTTGCTCTGGTAACTGAGTCATCATCTTAGGCGCATGTTAATCTCTCCTTTCATTCTCTATCTGTTGCCCTTTCTCTGACCACTACCCCCCCCCCCCTTCCCTGCCCTCCTCCCGTCCTCCCATCCTCCCCCCCCCTCCCCTTCTCTCTGCAGAGCGTTCACAATGACCGCGATCGCCCAGATGTGCATACTCGGTCTGATGTGGGTCTTTGGGGCCTTCCTGTTTGAAGAGGGCCCCATAGTGGTAGCTTATCTCTTCACTATCCTGAACAGCCTGCAGGGGGCGCTGGTCTTCATCATGCATTGTCTGCTGTCTAAACAGGTAAGATAGAAACAGGTGTGTGTTCCTGAGTCATCACAGTGGATTGCATAACAAAATATTTATTCTTGATGTTTGCTGCCCTCTGCAGGTGAGAGAGGAGTACGCCCATTTCCTGTCCTGTATCTGCACATCACAGAAGAAGAGATACTCAGACTTCAGCAGTACAAATCCGTCCAGTAGTCAGTCACAGGTGAGCAGAAAGTCACCTGACTCTCAGCTTTAATAATGATCCAGTGATTAGTGGAGGTTGATGTGAATGCATCAGTTAGTTTAAGGTGAGTTATGTTTACTCCATTACTTCTTTTTAAGTCTCCATGAAATGAAACATCTTCCTCGTTTTAATCCAAGACTTATTTTATTGTCACATCCATGAAAAAACTCTGAGCATACAAGGGAGAGAAACGCTGTCCTGGTCCAATCAGAGCGAGACAGAGACATCAATAAAAGGAAAACAGGATGCATGAGAGAGAGAGAGAGGACGCTGGACAGTTAAAAACACAGACCTGTTAAATAGAGGTCGGTTGGATGACTCGTCCTGCAATCAGCAGCGAATACTTGTTTTTTTGGACTAAGTAAAAAGCTTTGTGGAACATGATGTCCCGCCTTCTCTCTTGTGATTGGCTCTCTCCTGTTTCAGTTAGAAACAGCCGTTAGAGACTCTCTCAGTCCGGTTTCATGGAGACTTGAATGATGTTGAATTGATCTTCTATTTCAGTCGTTTTCATATGTTTAAGACTCGTGTGGAGGTTCCAGTCTGAAAACCTCCTGCAGGGTCTGAGACCAGAACAAAGAAAATACTCATCATTGTCTGAGTGTCCTTTAACAGTTTACTCTGAAAGAACATGATTTAGTGTGACTGTGAGTCTATTAAAAAGTCAGTAGAGCCCTTCAAACTCTACCATACAGCACTCTGTCTAATACCTGTCTTCTTCTTCTTGTAGGCTTCTGGCAGTGGGCAGCACACAGGAGAGTCCCAAATCTGAAGCTCTTCTCTCCACCAATGTTGGGGAGCTCTGTGTGAATGTTAGAGAGCTCTGTGTGAATGTTAGAGAGCTCTGTGTGAATGTTAGAGAGCGCTCTGTGTGAATGTTAGGGGGCTCTGTGTGAATGTTAGAGAGCTCTGTGTGAATGTTAGAGAGAGCTCTGTGTGAATGTTAGAGAGCTCTGTGTGAATGTTAGAGAGCGCTCTGTGTGAATGTTAGAGAGCGCTCTGTGTGAATGTTAGAGAGCTCTGTGTGAATGTTAGAGAGCGCTCTGTGTGAATGTTAGAGAGAGCTCTGTGTGAATGTTAGAGAGCGCTCTGTGTGAATGTTAGAGAGAGCTCTGTGTGAATGTTAACGAGCGCTCTGTGTGAATGTTAGAGAGAGCTCTGTGTGAATGTTAACGAGCGCTCTGTGTGAATGTTAGGGGGCTCTGTGTGAATGTTAGAGAGCTCTGTGTGCATGTTAGAGAGCTCTAATGTTAGAGAGCTCAGTGTGAATGTTAGGGAGCTGTGTGTGAATGTTAGAGAGCTCTGTGTGAATGTTAGAGAGCTCAGTGTGAATGTTAGAGAGCTTTGTGTGAATGTTAGGGAGCTTTGTGTGAATGTTAGGGAGCTTTGTGTGAATGTTAGAGAGCTCAGTGTGAATGTTAGGGAGCTTTGTGTGAATGTTAGAGAGCTCTGTGTGAATGTTAGGGAGCTTTGTGTGAATGTTAGAAAGGTCTGTGTGAATGTTAGAGAGCTTTGTGTGAATGTTAGAAAGCTCTGTGTGAATGTTAGAGAGCTCTGTGTGAATGTTAGAGAGCTCTGTGTGAATGTTAGAGAGCGCTCTGTGTGAATGTTAGGGGGCTCTGTGTGAATGTTAGAGAGCTCTGTGTGAATGTTAGAGAGCGCTCTGTGTGAATGTTAGAGAGAGCTCTGTGTGAATGTTAGAGAGCTCTGTGTGAATGTTAGAGAGCGCTCTGTGTGAATGTTAGAGAGCGCTCTGTGTGAATGTTAGAGAGCTCTGTGTGAATGTTAGAGAGCGCTCTGTGTGAATGTTAGAGAGAGCTCTGTGTGAATGTTAACGAGCGCTCTGTGTGAATGTTAGAGAGAGCTCTGTGTGAATGTTAACGAGCGCTCTGTGTGAATGTTAGAGAGCTCTGTGTGCATGTTAGAGAGCTCTAATGTTAGAGAGCTCAGTGTGAATGTTAGGGAGCTTTGTGTGAATGTTAGAGAGCTCTGTGTGAATGTTAGAGAGCTCAGTGTGAATGTTAGAGAGCTTTGTGTGAATGTTAGGGAGCTTTGTGTGAATGTTAGGGAGCTTTGTGTGAATGTTAGAGAGCTCAGTGTGAATGTTAGGGAGCTTTGTGTGAATGTTAGAGAGCTCTGTGTGAATGTTAGGGAGCTTTGAGTGAATGTTAGAAAGCTCTGTGTGAATGTTAGAGAGCTTTGTGTGAATGTTAGAAAGCTCTGTGTGAATGTTAGGGAGCTTTGTGTGAATGTTAGAGAGCTCAGTGTGAATGTTAGGGAGCTTTGTGTGAATGTTAGAGAGCTCTGTGTGAATGTTAGGGAGCTTTGAGTGAATGTGAGAAAGCTCTGTGTGAATGTTAAGGAGCTCTGTGTGAATGTTAGAGAGCTCAGTGTGAATGTTAGGGAGCTCTAATGTTAGAGAGCTCAGTGTGAATGTTAGTGAGCTCTAATGTTACGAGAGCTCAGTGTGAATGTTAGTGAGCTCTAATGTTACGAGAGCTCAGTGTGAATGTTAGTGAGCTCTAATGTTAGAGAGCTCAGTGTGAATGTTAGTGAGCTCTAATGTTAGAGAGCTCAGTGTGAATGTTAGTGAGCTCTAATGTTACGAGAGCTCAGTGTGAATGTTAGAGAGCCAGTGCAGTGTGCAGCCTCTAAGTTTAGAACATAATTCAACTTATTTTTCTACTTTGTTTTCATGATGATGTCATATCTTAATGATGGTACTGTTTCCTTTTTATAAACGCCACATTTATTTTAATAAAGCTGTTTTTCTGCTCAAATATCTGTCATGTGATCATTTCAGTTTTAACCCTAGCAGTCAGATACACACACACACACACACACACACACACACACACACACACACATACACACTTTCGTTTGAATTTTAACCCTAACACCTTTTTTTTTTTTCAATAACAATTTTATTGAAATTTTCAAACAATATAACAGTTAGAAGACATGTACAAAGACACGACCAAAAGGAATAAAATCAACCACTACAAAAAACAAACCAAAACAGACAATTAAACTAAAACTAGAAAAGGCAAATAAAGTAGGACATAAAATACTCCATTTCCTCATCATGCTCACTTCAAGGTTTTATTAACCTGCCAGAGTCCATTAAATTTAAATCCAGCCTCAGCCTGAATGGGAATGTCCAGTGCCCATATTCAGTCCAGAGGGCTTCCAATTCAGGTAAGAGAATCCTTTTGACAATAGACTCTCTGCAGGGGAGGTAGTCCATGAGTGGTTGCCAAGTGATCAAGAATAACTGTCCATTGCCCTTCAGCACTGCGCTATTCCTTTCGTGTGGAAGTATAGAAAAAATCTCTTTGTACCACATAGTGACAGTGGGAGGTTTGTCCTTGATCCACCTCAACAATATACATTTTCTTGCCAAAAGTATCAGTTTATCCAGCAATTTAAATTGAAGAGAGGGGAGTGACACAAACTTAGATGGCAAGCCAAGTAGGAAGAGGCCGGGATCCTTGGTTACTTTAGTTTTGAAAATGCCACTAAGCTCTTTTGCTATACAGGACCAGAACCATGATATGTATTTACACTGCCAAAAAAGATGAATATAGTCCCCTCTCTCTGTGAGACATTTCAGACATTGTGGTGACAAGCCTGGGTCCATCTTATTCCGGATGGAAGGTGTTATGTGTAATCTATGAAGAATTTTATATTGAGTTTCCCTCAGTCTGTTGCAAGAAAACACATTTTTGATACAATTCAAAGCTTCTTGCCAGTCGTCTCCTATATACTCATTATCTAGGTCCCTTCCCCATTTACACTGGACATTAAACAAGCTTATTGGACAAGTGTCATATAACAGGTAGTAAAAGGAGGAAATGAAATGGGAGGAGTTCTTGCAGTTAAAAGATTCTGGGGCACTTAATTTAGGAGTATTGAGGGAGGAGAGACTCAGCCCCTTAATAAAGTGACGAATCTGCAAGTACCCAAGAAAATGCTCCTTGGGAAGGCCATACTGAAGCTGAAGTTGTTGAAAAGACATGAGAATACCATCTTTAAATAAATCTCCAATAATCTTAATGCCTCTGGACTTCCACAACTCAAAAATTGAGCTGCTATTAGCTGGCTCTCTCTCTCTCTGTTGTGGTTGTTGTGGTTGTTGTTGTTGGTTGTTGTTGTTGTTGTTGTGGTTGTTGTTGTTGTGGTGGTTGTTGTGGCTGTTGTTGTTGTGGTTGTTGTTGTTGGTTGTTGTGGTTGTTGTTGTTGGTTGTTGTGGTTGTTGTGGTTGTTGTTGTTGTTGTGGTTGTTGTTGTGGTGGTTGTTGTGGCTGTTGTTGTTGGTTGTTGTGGTGGTTGTTGTTGTTGTGGTTCTTGTTGTTGGTTGTTGTGGTTGTTGTTGTTGTTGTTGTTGGTTGTTGTGGTTGTTGGTTGTTGTGGTTGTTGTTGTTGGTTGTTGTGGTTGTTGTGGTTGTTGTTGTTGTTGTGGTTGTTGTTGTGGTGGTTGTTGTGGCTGTTGTTGTTGGTTGTTGTGGTGGTTGTTGTTGTTGTGGTTGTTGTTGTTGGTTGTTGTGGTTGTTGTTGTTGTTGTTGTTGTTGTGGTGGTTGTTGTTGGTTGTTGTGGTTGTTGTGGTTGTTGTTGTTGTTGTTGTTGGTTGTTGTGGTTGTTGGTTGTTGTGGTTGTTGTGGTTGTTGTTGGTTGTTGTGGTTGTTGTTGTTGTGGTGGTTGTTGTGGCTGTTGTTGTTGGTTGTTGTGGTGGTGGTTGTTGTTGTTGGTTGTTGTGGTTGTTGTTGTCTTTGTTGTTGTGGTTGTTGTTGTTGGTTGTTGTTGTCTTTGTTGTTGTGGTTGTTGTTGTTGTTATTGTTGTTGTTGTTGGTTGTTGTGGTTGTTGTTGTTGATCCTGGAGGTTCATACGTGTTGCTTTATGATGTGAAATCTTTACGCTTCATCTTTTTCTTCATCTGCATACACTCAAAGCGTTCCTCCTCCCACCAGGTGTCTGGATGTGATCATGAGAGTGAGGATTCCCATGTTCTGTTGTCTGCGTAACAGAAGCACCATCCCTGCCCTGTTTGCACAGACGGTGACAAAGCATCCAGATAAGGCTGCTCTGATCTACTTGGCCACCAGAGAGGTGAGAGCTCATCAAAGATCCAGCAGCTTCGACAGCATGGCAGCCCACAGAGACATCATAATAACAGAGCCAGATGTTCCTCTTTGTTCCAGGTGTTGACCTTCAGGGAGCTCCAGCAGCGATGCCATGCTGTGGCCCACTGGGCGCGTGCACAGGGATGGCTGGAGGGGGATGTGGTGGCCTTGTACATGAAGAGTCAGCCTCAGGTTGTGGCTCTGTGGTTGGGTCTGGCTATGGTGGGTGTGGAGGCTGCAGTCATCAACCACAACCTCTGGCAGTAGTCCCTGGTGCACTGTGTCGGCGTGTCAAGAGCTCGGGCCGTGGTGTTCGGGACGGAGATGAGAGAAGGTAGGAACAGGAAGAAACTACTTTGAACCAGGAAGTAGTTTGATGCTTTTCTAATGAAAACATGTTTCTTCTTCTTGTTAACTCGTGTCCCAGCTGTGTCAGAGGTTCGAGGCTCTCTGCAGCCCGACATGCTTTTGTTCATCAGCGGAGAGCATGACGATAAAGACGAGCTCTGCAGCCTGGACGGCATGCTGCAGAGCTCGCCAAAACACAGGGATTCTGTGTGTGTGTGTGTGTGTGTGTGTGTGTGTGTGTGTGTGTGTGTGTGTGTGTGTGTGTGTGTGTGTCTGTGTGTGTGTGTGTCTGTGTGTGTGTGTGTGTGTGTGTGTGTGTGTGTGTGTGTGTGTGTGTGTGTGTGTATG